TGCATCAGATGCTGATACTGAGCAGCATTGCTATACATATACTCTGTCCTGTATGAAATAGAGAATAGTATAATCATACTATATAGACATCTAGTTATCTACAGAACCTATATTTGCCTGCTCTACAGAATCTTCTCTGAGATCCCCAGCTGCTAATCTGAGCTATTACAGATGGTTGGTTGATCATCCAGTGGGTGCACCCTGATACTGCTGTTCCAGCCATATGATGCTGTCTAAATGACTGACTCAGCACCACTCTCTGTACCAGCTAGTATGCAACCGCCAAGATAACTGTATGACACCAACCCCCCAGAAAACCTGGTTATTTTTGTGGTCTTGCTGACTAACCCCCTGTCTAACCAGGTTACATGGGGCGCCTGGGTAGTAACCCGCCGCAACCTGCCACCCAGCTAACTACCCAGCAGAGTCACAAGTCAATAATGCAACCGCACCATCATTCCTTCATAGCTCAAGGTACTCCGTACAGAGTATTTATATACAGGCATAAGCTGTACTCTGTTGTACTGCAAATGCAGCAAACATGCAAGTACAGTATCCAGGACACCTGTTTTTCTCCTGTGGTTGCCAAATTAACCACTTTGTGAGCGGTACTCAGTAACTAGGTAACTAGTGACGGAGGATCATAAATCTGTATCCAAAATCAGCACTTGTTTTCTTGACAAAACCCAGGGCTCCATCCCTAGCATTAGTTATTTAATTGTAGAAGTTGTTCATCTCCCAAAAGGTAGTTTTAAAAAACTAACCCCTAAGTGAGTACTTTTTAATGGCTAACTAAACCACCCTCCAGGTTCGTTTTGAAGAGCTTTGTCATAATGGCAGACTGCCCAAAACATCATTGCCTTTACTCTAGAGAATCTAGAACCCCAAATTACACTATATTTGGTGGCCCTATTTCATCATCCGGGCAGCTTCACAAGCCCTTGTGGCATGGATTTTGCGAGATTGAATCCGAACCAGTCAGTGGATTGATATGATATGTTATAATTAGCGCTCACATGAGATATTAGGCCCTTTTCAATGTTATGCTAAGGGACTGGGGTGTGAAAGGTGTCAAAGTCCAGGAAGTTGTCTCTCTTGACAATGATATGCTGCAATTTTTACAGTAAGCACAGAAGAACATACCACAGCAATTCCTCCCAGATATTCTAGCTAACCCCAGGTAAAGCAGACCCATCTATGGACTAGTATTTTTGTTCCGTTGGCGAGAGGATGATCCAGTAAAACAAGAACAAAGTTGTCCTGAAGGTCTGTGGTTTGCAAATCAGGTATGATATGTAGCACCCAAGAGTGTACCTGCAAAATACTGATTTATACCACATCCTTAGACAGTGAATTATGCCTGTGCTAGTGTTGCACTGCTCAATATTATCAATAATATTGAAGGAGTAGAACTTGATGAGGAGCTCCGTTCCTTCAAAGAATTCACAATGGATTTCACTCCAGCGCTGCGCGGTGATGCTATAAGGAATTTTGCATTCATTAAGGAAATACACAACTCGTTTGCAAGGTACACCTTCCATACTACCGCTCCCCCATCCTGTTACTGAAAAGGGACCAGGAAAATGGACATTCTAAATGTTGACCTCCAACTCAAAAATGATGCGTCTAAGAAAAGATCCAAGCTTTGCAGAAAGGACCAAGGCTTTGATGAATCAGAGGCAGGGTTCCATTTCATTGCCTTTGTACCCGCAAGGGGGAAGGTATGGAAATTCGATGGATTAGAGCGCCAACCTCAAAATCTTGGTAAGTCTGATGCCTGGTGTGCCGATACATTTTCCTGGCTGAGATTTTGAAGGAGACTATTCCGACGAGGACTGGCTGGAACTTGCTAAACCCGAAATCCAATCGAGAATGGCTGAGTATGAGGAAGGCCAAATTGAATTCTCGATTCTCAGTTTAGCCAAAGATCCAATGATTGGCCTAGTTGATCAACTCGCGATGAATGTGAAAAGATTGGTCTTTATCGATGAGTTACTATGCAATTTGCCCGATATTCAAGGCTTTGGTTCCCTTGACAATGCCATTGTGACCGGCCCCGATCCGTCATTCAATCTGACATCGTCCACCTTAGAAAAGGCGGTTGTGTCCGAAATCGATATGCAAAGCTATACCAACATGTCGAAGGAGCGTCTGCTAGAAGCTCAGAAAACACTTATCGATGCCCAGAAGGAAATATGTGTGGCGATTAAAGAAGAACAGCAAGTACGCGAGGCGGATAATACTTATGCAGAAAAAAAGCGGCATGATTACGGCCCGGCAGTCTACAGCTGGCTTCGTGCGTTAGCTCGAAAGGGGCTAATTGAACATTTGGCGAGAGATACGCCACCGCCTTGACAATGTCAATTATGCACAAACAAAGGGATTGAATGGCTTTACTACTATAAGACAAAAGCATAGAAGCTATATGAGAAACAGGATGTTCTTGAGAATACTACAAATATTCGGACTTCGTGTTCCAAGTTTGAAGCGATCCCAAGCATATCCATAACCACACCAAGCCTTCCAGCTATCTCTACAGAGTACGGAGTAGTGACCCACAATTCAACAATATTCACAGCAGAGGACTCCGTAGAGTACAATAATAGATTCCAATTCTGGTACATATTTACAAAAATACTCCCCTTCACACATTAGAATTCCAATTTTAAGGATCACACTACTCCCTGAATAGTGATATCTTTTAATGTTTGGCAATCTGCTTGTGGTGCTTTTGGGCAAGCATTTTCCTAAGAACTATGGAGTACGGGGTACTTTGTACAAATTTACAGAGTATCTAGGAAATAAAATGTCAAGTATTTATTACAAGGTGGCAAAAAAGCCAAGAGCAAATCGCAACCTCCAGATCAAGTGCTGATGATTAAGCATGAGAGCACATGGTAAAGAAGCATGTCAAGGACGGGAGCCTATGGAGTGAAAAAGGGTATGAATGTGGTGCCCAAGAAACTCTACTTCAGGAATTGATTGATCTACAGAGTACTCCGTATTCCATAGATGAAACACATTTGTTAACTCCTCTGTTTTGTGGGCTCACAAAGTGCACTACCACATTTGATAAAAGCATCCTATCTCCCTATGCAAACATAATGACGAATGGGCTTTTAAATAGCTTCCCAGATGAAATTATTCAGTGCATCCTTGCCTGTGCCACACCCATATCAGCTGTGAAATTAGGGCAAGCATCAAAGAAATTTTGGAGCATCACCAACACTCCTCTACTTTGGCGGTTCTACTGCCGACAATATTTCGAATATTGGGACGACCGCCATTGTATACTGGAAAAGTTTGCCCTGCCGGTGTCTCTAGTTGATTGGAAAGAACTTTACAAGTTAAGACATTTAATCGATGTTGCTGTTACCGAATTGCTAGAAAGTATACTTGCATGCCAAACTGGTCGGATTGAAAAATTCCACAAGATTATCAGCTTTGGGTATGATGCAAAGGACACACTATTACGCCATGCGGAAGCTGGCTTTGAATATCAGGACCACTTAGCCCGACGGTGCGTTCACGGACAGTTTGGTTTATCACTCTACACAGTCCTGCTTTGGTGTGTCGCTAACAATCCAGAAAGTTATTATAGTAATGCCGCTTTGGGCTGTCTCCATCGCAGCATAGCAATATCAGAATGGAGTCGAGTAAGAAATGGTGAAGACATCCCACTCGAACGCGCCCTTGGAGCTTTCGATTTGTTTGTGCTTGAGGCGGGGACAGGGGATTTAGAGGATGTACGCGCTTATCAGCTCAACTTCGTGGATTTAGCTAACTTGAAAAGATATCACAAAATTTGGAAAATATTGCTACCCGGATCGAGGCCGACTTTCGTACTTTCCGGGACCTCAGCCCACGAGAGAAAGCTGTGAGCATTGCGGTGTATCTGCAAGACAATAATCTAACTGGAATTGACCCGGAAAGGGAGTATTATACCATCGAACATAATTTTCTCGGGATTGCATTGAGAGATAACCGCCATAATTCACTTCCTCTTATCTCCGCAGTTATCTATTGCTATATTGCGAAGAAGCTGGGCTTGAATGCCCATCCATGCGGCTTTCCATTTCATGTCCATGTCATCGTCCGCCCGGAAGCTGGATACGACTTGGACGGCAAACGCCTTAAGGATGCAGAGCAAGGGCAGCCTATGTTCATGGACCCATTCCGTTCCGTTCAAGAGACACCGATGTCGGATCTTGAGAGTCAGCTGAATTTTTTAGGGCCTTTAGCTTTATCCCATTCATCATTTCTTCGAGAATCCCTGCCTGGCGAAATAATTTTGCGGTGTGGCAAAAATATCCTCAATTCCGTGACGCAGACATCACTCTTCCGCTGTACCTCGCTTGACCTCGCCAATGTCGAATATGCAGCTCTGTGGGCATTGATGCTTTTTGCCGATTATGCGAGGATAGAAAGGCATCCGGGCCAAGAGCTGCGGCTACACACACCGCTCCGCCATCACCTGCCTTCTTTGATGGAACACTTTGCGGCAAACTTCCCCTTTGACGTTTATCTTGTTGAAGAATATTTAGCGCCCATTTTCCACGGCCTTCCTGAATATGACCAACTAAAGGAAAGTACACGCGTTATGAAAGCTGGGGATGAAATCCCCAAACAAATTCGGAGCACTTCGGATCACACGAATATAAAATATCGAGTCGGTCAGGTATTTCGGCACCGCCGATACAATTATGTAGCCGTAATAATAGGATGGGACCCGGAATGTGGCGCGCGAGAGGAATGGATGCAGCAAATGGGTATTGATCGACTCCGAGCTGGGAGACACCAAAGCTTTTATCATGTTTGGTACGTGTCTTGTCATTGTGCTCCATATCTCACTGCTAATGATTTTGGGTCAAGCGTTGAGGATAAAAGCGTTCGATATGTGGCTGAGGAAAATATTGAGCCGGTGGTGCTTGATATCTCACAAATGCCTCAACAATTTGTGGAATCCCTGGGGAAGTATTTCAAGCGCTGGGACCCTGGAATGCATCGGTTTGTAAGTAATATACAAGATGAGTATCCCGACGACTAGATGCTAGTCCATACCGTTTCATGTTGTCAGTAACAGCGTCTTCTAAATGTTTCGCATGGGTTGTATTTCGACTACTTTCAAAATCCGCGCAAGCTTATTCGCCTGTCACGTCCATGACATTCAACTCCGATGCAGTTCCTAATCCCAGCCGTTGCAGAATTGGGATCTCCAGCATGTTGAGTAGATCGTTCAATGAATCTAAGATAGCACCCTCAACTTCGAACAGAGGGTATTTGAATGAAAGCCGCTTGAGATTGACTTCACTGGTGGATGTTCCCGAAGGAATCAAGGAGCATCTCATGACATCTCGCGACGTTGTCCAGGCTGCCTTCTCTGTTCCATTCCCAAGCCAATTGTGGCTGTATGGCCAATCCCAAGCAAAGGCTTCGTCTATCTTCTCTGCTTCTGTTTCTCCATAAACGAGCACCTGTTCTAGCGCACATTGTAGCATCAGTAGAATGGCGTTCTCCATCCACGTCTGCCGAAGTACGGAAGGGATGACATCGCCCAGCGCCATATACTCAGGGAGGATATCCAATAAAGACACACGGGAGTTCCAATCCATACTATTGTCAGGTGGCAGTCCCATGTGCTCACGCATGTCCTTGTAGTTTTTATCAAGCGAGAAACCGTTGCCGAATGTATACAAGTTATTCCGGCCCTGCGACATGACGGCTTTATTCCGCTCAACCCATAATTTTGCCCTCTTTCTATTTGTTATACGTCGTTTCTGAAGTGTTTTACGGGAAGGCAGGTACACAGAATCTCGATATCGACGTAAGAAGAGGTTCGCAAAAGTAAGAACTTGAAATTTGAGTGCGATGTCGTCAGTCAGTTTCTGGTCTGGATGGTTGATTTTGAATAGTGAAAAGAAAACTAGTAGAAGGTAAGGTTAGTCAGGAAACTCGACAACCGAAACGATGAAGGTGGAGTTCCAGAAGGTAATTGATTTGCCAAAGTGATATCAGGAGGTAAAATAGACCAACCATCAACTATGTTCAGAAGGTGCTCGGCATCTTTATGCGAATGGCCTTCCGTCCTCTGAATAACACGCTCATTTATCACTGCTCGAATTGCCATGCATAGCAGATAGTCGAGAATCATATTGTCCACGTCAGGATCAACAGCCTGTTCTTGAGACTTGTTTTCCATGCTAGAGAAAAGTTGTATCATATACACCCGGTTGCAGTCGAAACTCTCTTAGGGAAAGAAAGCTAAGGATATGGCGAACTAGTTATTACAGAAGGGAATACGGATAGGTGGTGAACTTTGATGCCAGAGCTGGCGAAAAGGGGAGTACTCGTATGGAGTTGTGTGGCTCCACTAATCCTATTACATTTTAGCTGCTGTGTCCAGGAAATCGTGATGCCCTTCAACACCAATGGCTTAATAGCCATTGCTAACAACTTGGCAGCCTTGTTGGTTAACATCACTGCCTGGGTAACTTCTTCAGCGCAAACTTATCTAAATACAAAAATTTAACTGTTGAAACAGAGTCTGCTGGCTATGCTGTTGTATTTCTAATGGTTGGTCCTATGTTCTGACGGATGTGGAAGGCTGGAAAATCGTCTACTAAGGTTTATGGATTCTCCCCATGCTTCTGACATTGGGCTACTTTGATTATCTTCATCCCATGATTACCATCAACCAAAATGAACACTGTTGATATTGGTCAAAAATACAAAAGGATTGTTGAATATCTGTGGGACCCAGAGCCAAAGAATGATGACGACATTATTGAACCTGTTTGGTGCTTAGGAAAGGAGTACAAGACATCTATCCCAAGGGACAGCGAAGGAGCCGAAGCTCCTGAAAGCTGCAATATGCCTGGCATGCCATTCTTGTCACCCATGAATCAGATGTCGTTATCATCGCGCGATACCCAAGCAGCTCTCAGTAAACCAGCTACTCCTCCACATCAACTAGGCATTCAAAGGTCCAAGTCTCGAGAATGGCCGACCTCGTTCCTTGATGACTTTGAATCGAAGTTTTGGTTCACGTATCGATCCAATTTCCCGGCGATTCCCAAGTCAAGGGACCCCGATACTCCTCTGGCTCTCACGCTAAGTGTGCGACTCCGAAGCCAGTTCCTAGATACTCACGGCTTCACCGCCGATACAGGTTGGGGCTGTATGATTCGATCCGGACAGAGCCTACTAGCAAATGCTCTTTCAATCTTAAATCTAGGCCGAGGTACAAGGTATCCCGTCACTTTGCGATAGCTTTGACTAACTCTGTTTAGATTGGCGACGAGGTTCTAAAATAAAAGAGGAGTGCGAATTGCTATCATTATTCGCCGATAATCCCCAGGCACCATTCTCCATACATAGGTTTGTTGACTATGGGGCATCTGCCTGTGGCAAACATCCCGGGGAATGGTTTGGCCCTTCCGCAACTGCGCGCTGTATTGAGTAAGCTATAAATATCCATCAAGCATTCTACGTTAATATCCTCACCGTTCACAGAGCGCTATCCAATGAATGTAAGCATACCGACCTTAATGTATACGTAATGAGCGATGGCTCCGACGTCCATGAAGATCAATTTCGCCAAATCGCTGGACCAGACGGGATACGACCAACCCTTATATTGCTTGGAGTGAGGCTGGGGATTGAAAGTGTCACACCCGTGTATTGGGAAGCTTTGAGGGCGATTATCCGATATCCTCAGTCTGTCGGAATTGCAGGGTATACTCCAGCACCTTCGGGCTTAAATTTTGTAGCAGAAGGCTGATACTTTACTAGTGGCCGTCCATCATCCTCGCTTTATTTTATTGGAGTGCAAGGCCCGTACTTCTTTTACCTCGATCCCCATCACACCCGGCCTGCAGTTTCATGGAATCCAGATTCTACCTTGTCACCTGAGAACCTCGACACTTATCACACTCGGCGGCTGCGAAGGCTCCATATCAGAGAAATGGATCCGAGCATGTTAATTGGGTTTCTCATCAAAGATGATGATGACTGGAAAGACTGGAAGAGACGCCTTCGTTCTGTAACGGGAAATCCGATCATCCACATTTTTGACTTGGAACGGCCAAATTTTGGGCGTCATTTAGAAAGAGAGGAAGCAGTAGACGAAGTCGAAGCCCTTGATGATGACAGCAATTAACGATATCTCTGTCACCAAGCTTTCAGGCATTCCCCACGCCTTTCACTCGCCAGCGTTCCTATATCTCGTCCTCAAACTTAGTCCTGAGCTTAAAATGTGGTGACATCAAATATTGTATTCATAACCTAGCAACTAAGGAGAGCATATCATTCCGGTTCGTCTCCCTGTCGCTTATTGTACAAGCGAATCTCAATCCATGGTACCATCGACAATTAAGAAAGGAAAAGAAAAAAACCAGGAAAGCCATCCCATCCCACAAAATACTAGAAACCGCAAACACCCAACCCCACCTCGCGCAACTGTAAAACGTAGACCGGGAGAGAAAAAGAAAGCCTATTTGGCAGAAGAAGAATATTTTGTGACAGCTTTGGTGCCTTCAGAAACAGCATGCTTGGCGAGTTCTCCTGGTAGAATTAGGCGCACACTAAAATCCAAGTCAATTTCTGCGCAAAGTACAAATCTGTATTCAGAAGAGACGTACGAGGTTTGGATTTCCCGTGAAGAAATCGTGGACTTCTTGTTATATGCAGCAAGTTTTGATGCTTCAGTGGCGACGCGTTCAAAGATATCTGCTAATGTTAGAACCTTGCCAACTCACTGGTTGTCATGACCATACCATTCACAAAAGAATTTAGGATAGACATTGCGCGGTTAGAGATACCAGTGTCCGGATGGACTTGTTTGAGGACTAGACAGCTGCGAGTCAGTGCCAATTGGCGTCCACAATGGAATATGATTGCAAGTCACCTTTGTAAATATATGAAGAATACGTTTCCTTCCGAGCCTTAGTTCGCTTTTTCTTCTCGCCTGAAGCAGCCGTTTTCTTGCCAGCTTCCTTTTTTTCAGCGGGTGCTTTACCGCCGGCGGGAGCCTTTCCGCCAGTGCTTGGCTTCTTTTCAGCAGCTTTTGGGGCCATTATCACAAATTAGGAATCGAAATGGGATTAAGTTCAACGGAATTATAAATTTCGAGGAATTAGCACTTGTTGTTGCGGTAAAGAGATAATGGGTGGTATGGAGGATGGAAAGGAATGAGCATTGACGTGGGGAGGAGGGTGATCTACTTATAAGGTCACCAAGAATGTTGGTTGATCTCAGGTGGGTGAAAGAAGCAGAATTTCGATACGGTAACAAAACTGTATGATCTGTATGATTAGCAATCAGCTTTGCAGAAGAAAGTGTTCAAATGACACTAAATAACCTTGTATCATTTTGTAAGTGTAAAACTCACCAATCTTGCCTGATTGGGCACAGCATGACAACATTGTTCCCAAAAAGCCAAGAACAAAGACTGTGTGTGATTGGCCTGATTTGTGATACCCTCATTAGTATCAAAGCCAAGTAAGTTGATCTTGAGAAAGCTTCTGAACGCCGACACTTTCCCGGGCGCATTATTATATAAACCACTTCATGCCATCTTTCTTCATAGCCATTTCAATTGATTCTCTTTCAGTTTCTTATCCAATTCCCAGTTCTATCCCAAGTCGCCAACAAAAAAAATTAATTCAACATCCAGCACCCAAAATCTAAGGCAACAAAATGACTGGTGGCAAATCTGGCGGTAAAGCAAGCGGCTCCAAGAGCTCTCAATCGTATGTCGATATGATCCCAACCCATATCGAAATTGTTATAAATATTGACTAGTCTAGGCGTTCATCAAAAGCGGGTCTCGCGTTTCCAGTCGGCCGTGTTCATCGTCTTCTTCGAAAAGGCAATTATGCTCAACGTGTCGGTGCTGGTATGTTCTTGACCTTCCGAGAACTAGAAATTCGTTGCTAATCGTTAAAATAGGCGCGCCCGTTTATTTAGCCGCTGTATTGGAGTATCTTGCTGCAGAGATTCTCGAATTAGCTGGAAATGCGGCCAGAGATAACAAGAAAACGCGTATTATCCCGCGCCACCTGCAACTTGCTATCCGCAATGATGAAGAGTTGAACAAGCTCTTGGGTCATGTTACAATTGCTCAAGGAGGCGTTATGCCGTATATCCATCAAAGTACGCTCGCATTAATCTCCCAGCATTCAAACACTTTCTAACATCTCTGCAGACCTTCTCCCCAAGAAAACGCCAAAGACCGGTAAAAATCCAAGCCAAGAACTTTAAGTGGTTTTGTTTTGTTTTGTGATTTTTCATCTGGCGTCGACATGCGGTATCAATTCGGGCGAGGCTATGGGGTTACGGTTGGTTGATATGGTGTTTTCGTTTTAATGGTTATGTGTACATTATGTCTAAGATGGACTTGTCAATGATGCCGCGATCATCTCCGTCTTTGCTCAGTTGCGAAGGAATCGGAAATTCTACAATGGATGACTTTTTGTTCTCACTGCTGAGCGGAGAGCCATCCAAAGAACTCAGCACGGACGTGCTGCTGTTGTCATAAACATTCACTGGATCGTAGCATTTTAAAATAAGTCAATTGCTTATATCTCTTTCCATTCTCGCTGAAAGCTTATTGATACTTTGGAAATGATCATTTCAAAGAGGAAACATGAAAGTTCGCCCGGGACAGAGATTGGTTTAACATTTTGAAATTAAACAGCTTCCCAAACGGAAGATCAAGCGGTCCTTGTTATTGCATGGAAAGTTGCACTTCTCTCAAGCGATCAATACTGATGCGAAGCGACGCGTTGGGCCATTTCCTGACTTTGAGACAAGGGCGCTTTCATCCTGTCAGTCTTGTTACAAGGACAATGGATTCTACTACTCACGGTTCAAGATAGGTGCCTCGAGATTTCTCTCATATTTTGACCCTGTATGAAACAGATTAGGGGGTTCTAAGTGCGCAAGAGATACCAGGTTCAGAAGTCTTACCACCAGGTGCAGTCGGAGGGCGGTATGGATCAGGATGTTTCCATTTTTCCAGCAGCTTCTCTGTTTCCTGAAAAAGAACCTAGTCGAAGGAACGGGCATATCAGCCAGGAAAAAGTGAATTCAATCAAGGAGACGGTTACCCTTTGCTGGCGGGGATCTCGAACGTCCTTGTTTGCATCAAACAGAGAACGAATATATACTGCCTGGCCACGCCAAAGCTGTCGATGCACAGCCCAATCAAGTGAAAGTTTTAAAGCACGTCGATAAAGTGACCTAGAGAAGGTTAACATAAATTCCACAAAACACTGTGCCTCAGGTACATACAGAGCTGTGTGTCTTGCAGACATAATGTAGGTGGGAAGGCGGACAGTAGCAAAATTATTAATTGAGGTCAGTGTCTTCACAAAAGCCAATGACGGATAAATATTCAATGCAGGCGATGATCGGGGACCCTTTTAATTACGGGAATCTGGAGCCACAGAGTAGTAGTTTGTCAATTATTTCACGCTCGGCACAGAGTACGGAGTACGGGATACCGACCTGAGTTATTTAAGTTAGGGAGTGACCAAACGGTTCAGGATACCTCGCCGGCAACACCCGACAATGTAAAATACATACAATTGAATTGACAGTGGAATTTGTATTGCACAGCTATATTCCCAGTCTATTCAAGGCATATCAAAAACAGCGCGCAATCCTGGAGAATTGGAGAGAAGCAAGCACCAGTAGCATGTGTCCTGTAGAATACAGAGTTGAACGGGTTTATGTGTTTTAATACCAATGTATCCACTCCGTATGCCGTACGGAGTTCACAGCACGGAGGAGGTTTACGTAACGATTGTATGAACTTAGCCGGCAGTTTTGCTGGGTTCGGGAGAGATCTTCAACTCTCGCGAGACAGATTTTCTTCAACACCAACCAGCCCAAGAACTCACTCGTCTTATCAAGCAGGATCCGGCCGACGTGGATGAAAGGTTACACATCAATGTTAAGAAGCATGTCTCCTCGCCTTCAATTCAGTCCTGCGATCTCGCGCACCTCAAATCAATTGCTCAGACAAAGGACCTGTCAGCAACAGTCGCGTCAAATTCGGTTACTCTCATACTCAAGGGTATATTCAAACAGCGGCAAAGCTTCACATCTCTCCCAATCCGGACTTTGGCGTTCCTCGCAATGCTTAAGGTAGTTATGCATACCCTTTTCAACGGCAAAAACATCCCACCTTCTAAAAATCATTGAATAGGCGAAATATTTTGCGACCAATTCCATCGCAATTAAATAGTTGCCAGCTACGCTTCTACGGTTGTATAGGGCTATACCTAGAGAAAATTCCAATTCTAACATGTTGGCAGCTGATACCATCGTTAAAGTCCCTCAGATGGCGGAATCAATTTCAGATGGGACCCTGAAACAATTTTCAAAGCGTAAGTGGCTAGCGTTTTCATACGCTTAATCTGCCCTCCTTCATTTAAAAGCTCTCGATCGAAAGAGCTCCATGTGATATATGGTATGGATTTTAATGGAGGCTAACTCAGAAGCACAGAGATCGGGGACTTCGTAGAGCGGGATGAAGAGCTCGCCACGATCGAAACTGACAAGGTATCTAGCATCATGTTTCAAGCATAGAGTCACCCGCAGCTGCGGCTAATAGCTCGCTAGATCGATGTTACCGTGAATGCACCGGAATCCGGGATAATCAAAGAATTTCTAGCAAAGGAAGAAGACACCGTAACTGTTGGTCAAGACCTCGTCAAACTACAACCGTCGACAGAAAATCCGAGCTCCGGAAAGGACAAACTTCAGGAAAACACGCAATCCGCGGAGCTCAAAGTGCGAGAGGAACAACCTCAGGAGCAACCGAACAGAAGAGAGAGGGGAGAGTCGGCCCAGGTTACCCAGCAACAGCCCAGTCCAAAGGAGGAGAAGCCCGCTCCTAAAGTAGAACGAGAGTCTCCAAAAGAATCCCAGCTAATGGCTAATGCCGCCCATGGGAGCGTTGGCAACAGAGACGAGCGCAGAGTAAGTCAATTCGCTGTGAGTAATGATTGCAGGATTTTGACAGCAGAACTAGGTAAAAATGAACCGCATGCGACTACGAATTGCCGAGCGTCTCAAGCAATCCCAAAACACTGCAGCATCTCTAACAACCTTCAACGAAGTTGATATGTCATCGCTTATGGAATTCCGCAAGTTATATAAAGAGGACATCCTGAAGAAAACCGGTATCAAGCTTGGATTCATGAGTGCGTTCGCGCGCGCGTGTGTATTGGCCATGAAGGAAGTACCGGCTGTGAATGCCTCCATTGAGGGACCAAATGGGGGAGACACAATTGTATACCGAGACTATGTTGACATTAGCGTTGCGGTTGCAACTGAGAAAGGCCTGGTAACCCCCGTTGTGCGAAATGTCGAAAACATGGACCTTACTACGATCGAGAAGGCCATCGCTGATCTAGGGCAGAAGGTGCTGTGGGAGTTCTCCAAAGTTGTCAAATGAAGGCTAATTCCAGGTCCAGGCTCGAGACAATAAATTGACCATCGAGGACATGGCTGGCGGCACCTTCACTATTAGCAATGTAAGCAAGTCAAACCTTCTGAGTTTTTGTTACTAATTCCAGGATCAGGGAGGTGTTTTTGGCTCATTAATGGGCACTCCTATCATCAATCTTCCGCAAACAGGTCAGATGCAATCCCTGATACCAGAAGAATACTGCTTTAACATCTAATGTAGGAGTTCTTGGTCTTCACGCAATAAAGAATAGGCCTGTGGCAGTCAATGGGAAAGTTGAAATCAGACCTGTAAGCGAAATCATTACGTTAAAAGCTTGTCATTATAGCTAATTTGGTCATAGATGATGTATCTTGCCTTGACTTATGATCACCGCCTCCTCGACGGCAGAGAAGCTGTCACATTTTTAGTTCGAGTAAGTGCTGCTTTGCAGCTTGGATGTTTGAAGTAGGCAAACTAACTTTCAATACAGGTCAAGGAGTTCATTGAAGATCCAAGGCGCATGTTACTGGGGTAAGTCCAGTGGTTGACTTCTTGATGTTATAGGTATATTCATCTGTAGTATTGAATTAGAGGCGAAGAATGAATATTTTGAAATTCAGCAGCTAAAGTGGTATTCAAAGAATTGGTTCATCAAACGGTCAAGGCTGGGGCCTTTTCCAGGTAATGAATATTTTACCCAAAGTCAATGATTTCAATAAAACAATCTTCCAGCCACTTGCCACCTGGAAAAGCAAACATATTATTTAATATTTAAAGATTTTTAAATCAAACTTAAGCAATATAAAAATTGCAAACAATATATTAAAAAATAATAATTACTTAAACTATGAGGTAAATATTTAATCAGACAGATGTTTATAAATAAGAAGTCTGATAAAGATAAAGAAACAAGAATAAGAATTATATGTAAAAAAATAAATGATAAAAATACTAAAAGTAAAAGAATTAATAAAAGTGGAAAGAGTAATAATTCTAATAAAAATAAAAATTATACCAAGATATAAAAATATAATTCTAGTAATAGTAAATACAAAGGTATGTGAAGTTCACTTAAAATTTACTAGTATGTAGGTTAAACTGGTATTTGAAAATTAGAACTGGGATAGACCTTTATTTTCTATTGAAACTGGTTTCAGTCCTGAATTTATAAAATTTTAAATATAAAATCTTAATTCCGTATTTTATTTTATTTAAGAGCTTCAGATGTTATTTCTATTTTAATTTTGTAAATTATTTTCTGATTTTATTTTCAAGTAAAAAATTATGTCTTGTATTTTATTTTATAAAATCTTATTATCTCCTCATCCAGCTGCTAGGCAAAATTAGTGTGGAAATTAGCATGTACAGTAGTATATTTAATATTAAAATTCTATTAAAAGCTGGAATATTTAACAGTAATCTGTAATTTATTCCCTTTAAGCTTATTTTGATTATATTAGAATTTTATATTTGTAGAATAAGTATCATAAGTCAAGCTAAAGTTACTAGCTAGAGCTCTATATATATAAATATATTACTTGAGAAAGAAAGAAAAAAAATAATAGACAAGTATATATATAATATATATACAATATTTGTGTATAATACTAGACTGAAAGAAAAAGTAGATATTAAGTTAAAGAGAGAATAGTGTCAAGATCTTTTGTATAGCATGTTATTGAGAAGCTTGACCTGAGATTCTTAGCATAAAATAATATTAAAAGCTTAATCTAAAAAGAATAAAATTTTAACTATTTATAATATTTTTCATTTTGTTTATCAGATATTGTATTATCACCAGTATTTATAAATAATGTAGATCTTATCTTAATACTTATAATATTTTTATTTATTAAGAGCTATTATTTTTTTTATAAGTGTTATATTATTTCACATTAAGTATGCATATTGTAGTGAGGATTCTGGTACCTTATTAGAACAAAGGTTGTTCTAGTTCAAGGTGCAAAACCATCTTAAAGATACTATTTCTAAGCTATATAAACTATCTGTAGCCTCTGTATCTCACTTATCATCTTTATGCATCTTTGTACTTTACTACACACTTATTCATTATTGTTAGTTTGGTTATTAGTTAGAGAATATGAATATCTCTTGTTCATAAAGCTTGCTACTATTTCTCAGAACTGCCTGTATTAGTACAAGACTTTATACTGTTACTATCTCTTCTTATAAGCTTAGATATCTATTAAAGCATACCTATCTCTACACTTACTACTTAATTATTACTATTTTTACTATATTGTGATTTTTCACCTTTTCTGCACTCTCACCATCTTAACTAATTCATCTATCTTGACAAGATATTCTATTGTACCCTGCTTCATTTGGTGACCAAGCTGAGATATAAAGATGATGATGCAGTGATTTGGTAACTGCTAAGGAAAAACAAATTCTGAGCCACATGAAGCAAAACACTATTTCAATAAGATCTTATAAACTAGGAACACAGTACTAATCAGAGTTTCATTTAGAAATAAGATTAAAAGGCTTAGATTTGAATGACTTTTATCTAAAGCTTGCTTAATAAACAGGTTTTTAGAAAAGATATTGAATCATTAAGAAACAACAGAATATAATGTGTAACATGATCAAAGATCAAGAAATCAAGAAATCAGAATCAGAACCAGCTATAGCTGAAGATACTACAGAATCATATGCAATTATGTTACAGAGTGAGAATAAGAAAATGGTAGTTCATTCTCATATTTCTATATCTTCTCCTGGTACAGCAAATGTATCTTGATGTAACAGCAGAGATGCTACCCTGTTTATTGAAAGATTTTATCAGATGTGCAAGAATCATAAGATAATTGACTTTAAGAATATTATTGAATAGTTGACTAGATACTGTGTTACATAAATTGAAGAATGAATGAAGACCTTGAAAGACTATAAAGAAAATAATTGAAAAGTATTCTTCAAAGAAATTATTTATAAATTTCATAATTAAGACATTACTTACAAGATTCACCATTAGAATTATCTTCAGGCAATTACAAAAAAATCATATGCTTGAAATGGCAATATTTACACCTATGTTCAGGAATATACTACTATCACTAGTACAGTACAAGCTAATAAAAGAATTGATGAATTTACTAAGATGTCTTAGTTTCTTCAGAAGCTACCTAAGAAGCTTCAGAATAAGATTATTGACAAAGCAAAGCTCAATTTTTTGGACAATATATTGCCTACTGATTTTAGAAAAGTCATTCAGATGACTATAAATTTGATTAACCAGTATAAAGAGAATAAGAAGATCTTTAAACAAGATGAAATAAAGCAGAAAGAAATAAAAAAGCTTGGTAAATGATATTAATTAGCTAACAAACTCCCTACAGTTAAAGCCCTAAAAAAAACAGCTAGTTCCACAAAGACTAAAGAATCTGAATTGAAATCTAAAGCCAAGAGCTCTGAGGATACCAATATTGAAGCTGTAATTGAAAAGATGTTTAATAAGTTTACAAATTTAGCATTGATTATGAGAGTACAGTCAAATAAGGTTCAAGAAAATCCCCATCAGTACTATATACTGCAGAGAAAAGAGCCTTCAAAACCTATACTAAATTATCCAACAAATGTGACCACTAATTTTGCAATGGTACAAGAGAATACTTAATCAAAATTAGTTAATTCTTATGTGACTTGAAATGGTTTGCAAATGACAAGCTATTATTCTAGTAGGCAAGAAGCTTGAATTGGAGAAATTTCAACATATCTTTCATGCTTTTACTATGGAAAACCTGGACACAGTTAATCTTAGTGTTATAAATACTAATCTGATGTGAATAATAAGTACTGCTATATTGATGATAAAGAGAACTTATGCATGGGTTCTTCTGATTAAAACTATTGAATTGTCACTTTTAAATCTGAAATTCTGAACATATATATTGTACAGTCTGTGGAAGAGAATAAATAGGTGATTCTAGAGTTGATAAGCTCTAAAAAGAAGATCAATCAGTAAGAAGAGATACCTTTAGCAAATTCAACTAATATAAAGGTTCAAGCAGAGTGACTTGCATATCTAATATCTGATAGAGAATCTGATTTGAATAAGAAATATGAATCACTAGAAGAACAAATATCAGTTAATATCAGAACTGTTAGCAAATCTAAGAATAATTAAAAGACTAAGATTGCAACACTCCACACTTAGCATACTAAATAATTTAGTACTTACCAGAATAATCAAGCTAGTATTAATGACAATATTATAGAAGACATTAAACTAATTAATCAGAAGAAGCCTGAAATTCAGAACAAGTTTATAAAAAAACAAAGATTAAGATATTCTGAAACAAATTTTTTATTCTCTTAGATTTATAATTCAACAGATGTCAATAAATTAATAAGTCAAATTCTCAATAAAAAGATTGAAGTGTCAGTCAAGAAGCTTATAGATGTATTGCTAAAGCTTTATCAAGTATTCTTCAGATCAGATTGAAATAACAGTACTAGTAAAAGCTATGCAAAGATTGAGGTCTTCAAACCAGTTCAGCCTGAGCTAAAGATCAATTCCAGTCAACTTATATCAATGTTCATGGTGTTAAAATCCAAAATAGCATATAAAATATGTTTATTATATGCACCAGTCACTATAAATCAACAAGAATTAATGACATTGATTAATACTGGCTTAGAAATCAATTTATTGTCTTGGAAGTATACCAAAATGTTAAATCTGCTAATGAAAAATAAGCTGTAAGTGATTATGATTGTTCAAACAGAAGAAGTCACTTCTTTTTATGTGTTTTGTGATAAAGTGCCTGTTCAGATTAGAGATATTATTACTCATATCTCTTTTCTTATATTCAAAAAAGAGGATCAGTAATTTATTCTTGAAAGATCTTGGCAATTTGCTGCCTGTTAGAGATGCAACACCTCAGAAGATGGAGGAGTGAACTGTGAAATTTATAACAAGAAATAAATGTGTTATCTAGTTTTCAAAGACTTTAAGTCAAACTCAAGCAACATGAGATATGCAACTGATAAATCAAACAACAATCTTTTAAACAATTCAATAAGCATTTAATCAGATAGCTATCTGTAGATACAAGATCTGAGAAGAATGAAGAAAATATGACAAAGACAATAAGTATAAGAATTAATAATAAAAAGATTGAAGATCAGAAGATTAAAAAAAGTAGAAAAGTCAGAAGTATTAGTAGCATTGTCAGTATTAGTGATTACAGCAATAAGAAGAAACAAAATTCTGGCAATAGTAAATCTAAAAGCATACTAAGTTTAATTAAATTGACTAGCATACTGGTGAATTAAATGAATTAATTAGAGAACAAGAATAATTTTGCATCAAAAGTTCAGATTTTCCAATCTCTACTTTTCAATCTGGACAGCATCACAGCTCACTGCAAATATTATACACATAATATTAATTCCAGCTTAATTTGAAAACCTATTTTACAAAGCACTTGATTTGTAAGAGTTCACTGCAAGCCTCTTACATGGACAAACAGCACCTGTGAGAGCCAGAGATCTCAGCTTGCAAGCTGCTGGGAGTTGCATGTATTCTTGTGAGGCACTAAGTCATGTGCTCACAAGCACACATAAAAGACTGTCACTGTGTGAATCTCTTGCTAGAAGCCAGTGACAATCTTGTTTACAAGTTGTATATAGTTTTTCACCTCAAGATTCAGTTTTGCCACACACTCTTTTCACAACTCAGTCAATTCTTGTTCAAAATGGACAAAACCACATTCATTTGAAAGCTATTCCTCTACCTAACAATCTCTCCAATTTTCATGTAAATTGCCTTGCCGGTTGTTGAGATATAAGTGGGAATAGATGGTGCCAGCCTCATGCCTGTCAGAAACACTTCTCACACTATTACTCAGCAACTATATGATCTTTTCATCTAAATTTTGAGAGACAAGCTCAATAACATTCTTTAAACAAATTACCAAATTTTCCTTACTATATCTCTACTATTTGTTGTGTTATTGCACTCTTTTTATCTGAAAAATGTCTTACCAGATACTCTTATTTTGATTTTCCTTGCCAAGACTCTTGCTTACTCACATTTTGTTGAGGTGTGCCAAGCTAAGCTAGAGCTCTTATCTTATCTTATCTACTTCCATCTTATTTCTCTGCCCCTTCTCATCTGATCTTTGCTCTCCAGGTCTCACACCAGCACTAAATCAGCTCTATCAACTTGATACTCTTGATATAGCTGAGCCAAATTAATTCCTGCAAATTCTGACCAATCTCTACTAAATACTAGTATGTTCTATACTATTTGGTAGCTGAGAAATCAGAATTAATTAGTGAAAAATAGCTTTTCAAATACTTATAGTAACTAAGTTTTTGAACTAGGAACAAGCTATAATATAGGCTATCTTGCAAATCAGAGCAGTTTTTATTAATTTTTCTGCATTTAAGAAAAAAATCAAGCTAGATTTCTAGTGACTTAACAGGTTTGCTATCTTTTCCATCTGATAAAAGATATGCTAGCTTTCTGGTGCTGCTATATCTGAAAAAACCAGCTGCCCTTCTCACTTTTCTGCTTAGAATATATCTTATTTTTATAGTATTGACTTTGGCATCTTGAATGTGAGTCTTCACTACTAAATTTAAGAATACTCTCAGCTGGTTTCTGAAAGCTTCTCTGTAAAAAGCTCTCTAGTTTGATACTTCTCTTCAAAAAGTATACTTGCTAGTATTAATTTAACTGATTTTTGAGATATAATTGCTCATATTTCTTAAATTTACTAGCTTGCCCTCTTGCTCTCTACTCCCCCAATAGTTTTTCTATAGTTTTTATTCTAAAAGCTGTTTCCATGATTACAGTCTTCAAAAAAACTATATAGTTTGCTAGTTCTCTCAAAAAACTAGTTCAGAATTTAATAGATGTAACTCTGGCTAAAGAAAAACCTACTACATTGAGATTTTCAGCTCTCAGTAAAACAACTGAACTAGTTTAGGTTAACTAGCAAGTGGGATACAAAATAACCCCAGAAGATTTTCTTAAGAAAGTAATTTCAAAAGATTATCTTCTGTTTTCTTATTCAAGAAGATACTTTTTGAAACATAGTCAAAATGCCTTCTACTTCTGATTCTTCTTCTGAATCTGAACAGCAAGATCTAAAGTCAATTCTTAAGCTTCTTGCTAAAGAATCTCAGAAGAAGAATCATGTTCTTGTGCAAAAAAAACTAAATACTTGTATCTGAGTATTCAAAAAATCTTTTCTTTTAAAGAAAAAGAAGCTACTACTATTTTTGAGAATTCTCAACTTCAAAATCTTGAGAAAAGAATTATACAGCTTGAAAATCAGAAAAAGATAGCTACTAACAGTAGTAATACTTCACAAAGCTGCTCTTAAGAGAAAGTATCTGCTAGTAATGCTTTCAAATCATATTCTTCTGCTCTAAAAACTGGACTAAATACTGAATCTTTAGTTAAATCTTCTTTACTCTTTAAAGTAAATGGTAAAGAAGATAGAAAACAATTCTCTAAGCCAAAACTCTTTAGAGAAAGAAGACTAATTCTCAAGATAAATACTCAAGTACTTGAAGAGATCAGTAACAAAGCTTTCTTCTTCAGAAATAGAATAAATGACAGCTTTACTGAAGTAAATATTCCTGAAAAACCAGTTATTTCTTCATTTAGAGACCAATCTCTAATTCTAATAACAACAAAAGACTTTTTGGCTAATTTTCTTCAAAAACACAAGCAAACTTGGATATCTATATTTTCAGATCTAATGAACTTTGATATAGAGAGCATGAAAATTCACAAAGATAAGCACTGGGAAGTCTTTATAGTTCATGGTATCTCTACAGAGATCTTCAATATAGAGAATGGATTATTCTTTCTGAAAGAAGAAATAGAAATCTTTAATTCTATTTCTCTAAAAAGAACCCCAATCTGGCTATCTTCTGCTGAAAATAGAATGCAGAAAAAATACATCTGCTATTTTTCATGTTCAAAATACTACTATAGCTGAAAATCTGAAAACAGTTATAATTGCTGGACAGACTCTTAAAGTTTGTAAATATAAATAGCCAGAAAGATTTAGAAGCACTGTACAATGCTTTAACTATCAAATCTATAGTTATACAGCACCAAACTGTAAAAAAGAAGCTAGATATGGTATCTGTGCTCAAAAACATCAAACAAGTATGCATGAATACTTAATTTGTGAGACTACTAAAAGAAAATGTATACACTCTACATTAAAATATGCTAATTGCTTAGAAAGTTATGTAGCTAAAAAGCACAAAGTGTGTTTTCTTCAAAAAATCTAATTAATCTAACTATTCAGCACAAAATACTAGTAAATCAATGAAACTAGTAAGAGCTGAACAGAATCTTTCAACAACTAAAACTGTTTCTAAGAGATCTTATAAAACAGATTTTGAAGATGAAAATCAAGTTGTAATCTTTAAGAAGAAGATTGAAGTTAGATCACTATTTATTAATTTATGTTAAATAAAACTTCAAAGCTATTAAACTGTTCAGTCTATTAAACTGAAAGAAGAAAAATTTAACAAGGACTTGATATTTCTTAACTATTTTTAAATTTTATTTTTAAAACTGAATTAGATCTGAAATAGCTAGTTTTATTTCTGAAAATATATTAAAATAGTCTAGTTAGACAA